TCTTTCTGCTATATTCATCAAACTTTCTGCTATATTCTTTTGAGATGTATGGGACTGGCAGTGGGAAACCCACTGGCAGAGTTAGGCATGAATTTGAAAATAAGCAGGAGACGTTGTATTAATTGTTATTCAAAGCAAGAGAATTGGACTAAGAAAGGAAAGAAGATCTGTACATTGCAGAATTTAAGTTGCTTATTTATGTTATGACAATCTTAGTATCAGCCTAGAAGTCATTAGCTGTACTACGTGTCTCATTGTAGTATGAGTTTAGTTACTTCTCATTAATAAAATAAAGGAAGTAATATTGATGTATATAGTGCAATACATGCCCCAAAAGGACACTAGTTTTGAAAGCCATGAAAGTATGACACCATGCATCTTGGACAGGTTCAGAACACCACCATTTACGTTATTCAAGCCACTTCCAGTTAATCTTCTGTATTTCAAGAGAGGCTTAAGAAAATTATAATATTTTCACTTGACTTTGCAGACTTAGTTTCACTGTAATATGTGCAAGACTAACTGTTGTTATAATTCACCTTGAAATTTCTATATACATATTTGCATATGTTCACACATACAGCCACGCATGTATGTACATGTACATACACCTTGATAAGTATAAACAAAATATGAAATTTTATAGTTCCAATTATCAAGTTAGTTGATGAGCAATTTTATTTCTTGTAGAGCTTTACAAGATGGTCTGTGAACCGGATGAGACTGATCTTGATATTCATATCCCTACGGTTATGCTCCCTCAAGATGCTGGTATAACGTTGGAAAAGATGTTGTCAAATAGTTCTTCAGGTTAACTTTCTCAATCCAAAATTGCTCTCCTGCATCAAGTTTATCTGTGCATTGCAGTGTTTACTTAAATAAAAGACACAGTCTGATCAATCTACAGCTTGTTTTTTTAAAGTTGTCTCCTTTGTTCAGTATCTGTGCAGCTATACTCTCCTCGAAGACCAGTGGTGGACATTGCCGAAGTTTTTTTATGGCTTATGGCAGTTGGCACCGTTCTATGTGCATCATATTGGTCAGCTTGGAGCGCCAGAGAAGCGGTTGCTGAGCATGAAAAGCTATTGGAAGTAAGTCTCTTTTATAGTTTGTTCTCCCATTACATTATGTATTGTTGTTTTCTTGTGCATGAGTAGTTTGGGTAGGCAATTATTATAGATCTATCAGTCTTAAGGAACCTCCTTTTGATTTGATTGGTTGTTGACTGTTTGTTGTGATTTATTCTCCACAGGATGCTTCAGAAGAACTCTCAAATGTGAGCTATGGTGGTGTGGTGAACATCAGCACAAAATCGGCCCTATTGTTTGTTGTTGTAGCTTCAAGCTTTCTTGTTGTCCTTTACAAATTGATGTCATCTTGGCTCATTGAGCTTTTGGTGGTGCTTTTTTGCATTGGCGGTGCAGAGGTTAGATCAATTCTTTTCTTATCTTTTTTATCAGCATCTTCTGCTTTCCTCTGGATGAATGTTATATGAAATATGTTCCTCCTATTATACCCAATAGAAACGAACTACCTTTTAAAGCTTTTGGCTCTAGTGCTACTGTTTTAGCAGTAGATCTGTTAAAAGATAGTTTCTGAAGTTTGTTTTCAAAAAACTTAGAAGCAAACCAGCCATCTCTGTGCTCAAACTTAGATTTGTTTTAAACAAGGTTGTCTCTGAATCGAGTAATAGAAGGAAATAAGAACATGCTGAAGTAGATTCAGCTGCTTCTCTTGCCAGTTACTTCCATTTTGGTTTTCTCATGACTTCATGAGAGTGGGATAGTAAAGAACTCTATATTTGTTCTAAAAAATAAAAACATCCCAATTTTCTGGGAAGAACAGTAATCTAATTACTTCCTCTGTTTCCTTGAAATTGCAGTTGTTAAATATTTATGCTGTTAACATACTAACTTGACCATGTGTAAACTGTTATCGTATAAAATGTTGTTGGATTAGTCTATATGTGAATGAAAGATGAAAGGATTATTAATTTTCTAGTGATTGTCTTATAATTCATACTTTAACCTTAGTTCTTAATTTATTGTAGCCTTATTTTCTTCGTTTATGTTTTGCAGGGGTTACAAACATGCTTGGTTGCTTTACTTTCAAGGTATCTATGCCCTATTTGCTTCTAATCCTTCAAGAGAGATAATAACTGAATGTCACCAAATTTTCTGAGTGTAGGAACTCTTTGACAGTTTATGTAAACAGTAACCACCTTTCCTTGCTGAATTTACTTAGGACGTGGGAGGGTTTAGTGACAATTATCATCAAATGTTTAACTAATTTCTGATATCCACGAATTTAACAATGTTGAGAACCGTTTATTGCATCTGCTGTAGATCATTATATCTATACTCTAAAGCTTGTGGTAATCTTGCTGATATATACCTATCTGTTATACTTTGATGCTCTACTTATATTATAATTACCGATTTGTAGTGACTTGTTAAAAAAGATATAATATCTCAGACTCATATAATTTGAGTCCCGTCTTACCACTTAAACTGCATTAACACTTCTAAGTTGCAGGTGGTTTAATTTGTTCGCACGCTCATATGTGAAAGTACCTCTTCTTGGAGCTGTTTCATACCTTACTTTAGCTGTTTCACCATTCTGCATCACATTTGCAGTCCTTTGGGGAGTTTATCGAGATCTTCATTTTGCCTGGATTGGTCAAGATGTGCTTGTAAGGATAAAATATTATCAAATATATATTGTACTGTATATAAATGTGCTACATTCTTCTGCCATTTGTAATTATATATTACTAATAATCACATGCGTATCCTTTTATGATGACTCAGGGAATTGCTTTGATAATTACTGTTATTCAAATTGTTCGGATTCCAAATCTCAAGGTAATGAATCCATCCCCTCCCCACTTCCCCTCTCCCCTACAAAACCTTTCAAATATTTTATAAAAGAAAGAAATGATTTGGAAATCTGCTTAGTTGTTTTGAAATGTATGCGAAAGATACTGCAAAATCATTTGATGAATATGTTCACCTTTATTTGGCTCTATAAGATTTCAGTGGTAATTACAAATGCCTGAAATTCTTTGTTTTCTTCCTCACTTTGCAGTCTAAGGAATAGCCGTATAGGCTATTTTTGCTTGGAATCATAAGCCGTTAGTTATCAGTTTTGTTATAATCTGATAGCACTTTGCTTGAATGCTAGTTGCACTTTACCTTTGGTAGTTGTCTGATTTTCACACTTGGAGTGCTTTGATTATTATGATCAATTGGTTTGTTAGTGTTATTGATATTCTCTGGTGAGATTCATGATTGTATATATCTTACTTTTTGCTATGTGAATCAGGTGGGAACAGTTCTTCTCTCTTGTGCCTTCTTGTATGACATATTTTGGGTCTTTATCTCAAAGAAGTTATTCCATGAGAGTGTTATGATTGTAGTAAGTTAGCCATATCTACCACTCACTTTGCTAATTGATTAATTGTAATGCTATGTTCGTTTGTAACAATGAATTCCTTTCTTTTTTAGGTAGCCCGTGGTGATAAAAGTGGGGAGGATGGTATTCCTATGTTGCTTAAGATTCCACGCATGTTTGACCCATGGGGTGGCTATAGCATCATTGGTTTTGGTGACATCCTTTTGCCAGGGTTACTAATAGCGTTTTCTCTCAGGTAGGAATAATATTGCGATATTTTTAAGCTCTTGATATGCCTCTACCCATTCCCTCCCCTAAGTTCTCTTGCAATATGTAGATAACAAGGTGTTGCTATTGTAAAAATGATGTTTTATGTTCATGTATGTTCGACAGGTATGATTGGTTGGCAAAGAAGAATCTTCGAGCTGGGTACTTCTTGTGGACTATGATCGCCTACGGATTAGGTAAACAAAGTTGTTCCTAATTATTCTTTCATCTTCCTATTTTGTGGTAGTTGAAGCAGGGTGCATAAGTTCAGCTCCGCATTGTTTATGTGACAATTTTGCATCTGGAAGCTCCCCGAGTTGCTGACTATCTTATTCAAATTTTTGAATGTTATTGGCAGGTCTTCTCATTACTTATGTCGCTCTAAACTTAATGGACGGACATGGCCAACCTGCTTTGCTTTACATTGTCCCTTTTACTTTAGGTATGTTTTCTGATGCACCTTCAAGGGCTTTCTACTTCCTAAAACACTTCACGCAATTCGGGATTGCAATTAATGCTTCAAACAATTTCACATTCTTGATTTATACTCCATACATGGTCCAAAACTCCATTTTAGTCAACTGTGAGTTTACCTGATGCTATAACCTAACATAAGCCTAGTGTGTGATGCTCTCACCGATATATATGTATGGCAGATCAAATTCATGCCGTATTATCCTTGTAATTGTAAAGAGATTGTCATTACAGTACATGTACTCTACACATAAACCATCTTCATTGATGCATCTAGGAGCTCGTTTAATAAAAAATGACATGTGTGAATGCCAGGAACATTATTGATGCTGGGGAAAAAAAGAGGCACTCTCAAGGTTTTATGGACGAGAGGGGAGCCTGAAAGACCTTGCTCTCATTTGCATCTGCATATGTCTGAGGAATCGAATCAAGAAAAGTAGATCCTCAGTCTGAAATTGATGTATAATTACGTAGTAGTTAGGTGTTGTACTTGTGGTAATTCAGGCTTCAATTTTCTATTGCCTGGAAGCAGGAAAGACTGTAATATATGTCGAATTTGCCAAACTAGTTTATATTGTATATTTTCATACTGAGCTCTTGAGCTGGGTGTAAGACCCTCTTATTATACGAGTAATAGAAATGAAATGGTTCTATCAAATCTCGCACTTTTGTTCAATTTTGTACCTTTGTGATCTTGGAGTATTTTTGTTTAAGTGATTAAAAAGGAATGCCAATAAACAGAGTATGTGCCCCTGCTGTAACCACGCCGCCTAGTTGTGCAGCAGCATCAAATTTGCATTAGAGCAATGAATGCCTTCTGCTGTTTCGATACATTTAGGTTAAAAATGAAAGAGAGCAGCAAATGAAGACTACAAATTTAAACTTCTTGGATTCTCCTGGTGATAACTGAATTGATTTGAAACTTGAAAAAAAGATACTGGTACAAATTATCTATCAATAATCAAATTTTGAAAATTTAATCAATTTATCATTTAAAATAATCTTCTAACATTCAACAAATTACAAATTACATTTCCCTCCTATTTTATTCCTAATTCCTATGATCCATTACTTTTTGTTCACAAAATGATCCTCATTTATTGCTTGAGTTTTCTTGCTAAACATCATCTCAATTTCTTCCAAAGATTTTCCTTTTGTCTCAGGCAAAAAGAAGTAGAAAAATAACCAAGCCATCATCGCAAGCCCACCAAACAAGAAGAAAGTCCCACCAATTGTAATAGCCTTATACATTGATATGAAACTCATTGATACAGCAGCATTCATAAACCTATTCACAGCCACAGCAAGTCCTGCGCCGACGGCTCGAAACTTAAGCGGAAATATCTCAGATGTATAAACCCAAGTGATGGGAGATATCCCAATTGAGAAGAAGGCCATATAAATGTATGTGGCACATATAGATAGTGCTAAAGCCCATGATGCATGGTTTTTTGAGTTTGCAACAATAGGTAGCCTACAAAATTTTTCCTGTATAGGCAACATTGCTGATGTGGTGTTACCATGAGGATAACAGCTGGTGAAAGTTAGCCCGACCCCAAGTGCTATAAGGGCGAGTATTACCCCAGCTGTGCTTGTCAATAGCAATGGACGTCGACCAACTTTGTCTAATAAAAAAGTGGCTACTAAAATGAAAAGTGTCTTGACCACCCCTAGGCCAACATTTGCTAGCAAGAGCTTGTTCTTGCTAGTGATGCCGACCGCCTTAAAGATCCTAGGGCTATATAGTATGACAGCTTCTATGCCGGTTGCGTGTTCGAAGAAATGGATGCCTATGGCAGCAAATAAAGTCCAACGAACCGCTAAGGTGGGCTTAAAGAGGAGCTCCTTCCATAAGGAAAACTCGGTTTGGGACTTTTTATCTAGCATTTTTGAAGACTCTACGGTTGTTATTATATCTTCAAGCCTAATCTCGGCCTCGTGTTTCGAGTTAGACACCAACTTAAGGACTCTTTTAGCGTCCTCTGTGCGGCCTTTCATGACGAGCCACCGTGGAGACTCGGGCATTTTAAGGACCCCAAAGATCAAACCAAGAGACGGTATGGCTGCCACGCCGAGCATTAGCCTCCAACCTAACTTCAACGTTAGTTTTCCAAACATGTAATTTGAGACATATCCTAATAAAATACCAAGACTAATGCAAAACTCGGGTAATGATGATAGTTTTCCTCTATGTGTAGCTGAAGAAATCTCGGCTGTATATATTGGCGCGATCATAAGGGCAAAGCCTACGCCGAATCCAGCAATGCACCTCCCGGTCATTAAGACCGCGAAGTTCATGCCATAACCCATCAAGATGGAGCCTAACAAGAAGAGGGTGGATGCTACGACGATTGTGTAGCGTCGACCGATGTAGTCGGAAGTCCTCCCGGCTATTAGAGAGCCAACCAATGCACACAAGTTAAGTATCCCTGCTAGTACTTCTATTTGGGTGTCATTGATTTTGAGGTCTTCTTTGATGAAAATCATTGCTCCACTCATAACTCCAGTATCTGAGGAAAAAAAAAATCAAAAGAGAACATGTTAATTGGTTTAAATTAAGTTTATTCAATGCAATTAAAATATTTTCTTTTAATCTTGATCAATACATGCATCATTTTGACTTTTACACTTATCATGCACAATTTTTAAAGGCAAGTAAGTAATGAAATATGTATATTTAGATATTCAATGAAAATTAAATATGAAAAATAATAAGTTACATTTACGAGTACGTAATTAATATGCTTAAAATTCAAAATCGCGAAAGTGGTGGAGGAGTTACCATAGCCAAATATGATAGAAATTGTAGAGGCAAGGATAGCAGCAGCACAAGCAAATTTGTTTAGATGCTTATGTTGTTCTCCTCCGGCAACAGCTTCTTCCATTGTAGAAAATTTACTCTCACAATTTGTATGATATGTTTTTTTTAATCAAATAATGTGCTCTTTTCGATCATCATATATATGTTGTAATATATAACTATATATAAGGAAATAAAGTATGTGATGAGTTTAAGTTAAAAGAGTGTTAAATAGTCTGGCTTCTCCTTATTATGGATATTTATACAATAACAACAACGTAATCCTACTAGGCCTAGAAAACAAGATATTCTAACACCTTGAACTTTCCTAATTAATAAGATATTGTTTTAATATCAATAGATAACATAATTCTATCTTAGAATATCACTTAAATATACTTCGTATTATTTACCTAAATAAGTAAATACTATCATAAGATCTATATATGGAATGCGTTTCTAATAGATAAGTCTTTCAAGTCGCTTAAGGGTTGGGGTCAATTTATTTTATTTCGTATAGACAATTAGTTTTTTTTTTTTTTTTTTTTTACCTCTTGACTATGAGTTTACAAGTTTTATTCTATTAGTTAATTATGATTCTTATTACGGATTAGTATGTTATTTTTCCTTATTCTTTTCTCTCACTCTTAACCCATGATAAGTCATTGAATCGGGTCTACTAAATCATTCGGAGTACTCGATAAATCTTACCTATCAAAACAGAATTTGCTTGCGGAGCCTACTAGCTTTGTAATTAAATGTTTAAAAGCAATTTGATTAGGCCCTTATCGGTACACTTTGTTACATGTGGATTAAGGAAATGTCCTGGTAAATGCGATGAAATAAGGAAATAGGGAAATCATTTGGAACGTTGATTGATTACCAACATTAAGACGCTTAAACAAAGTTTGTCCTTTTGTTTTATTTATGGGGTTATAACAAGCAAGAAAGTGTTTTGCAACTCTAACGTACCTGTAAAGTGCAAGTGCTGTAAAAGTAGAACTACTTACCTTTTTGACTTATTGTGAAGTCTGATTGATATCTAACACAATAAAATTTAAGCACTTTGCCATCAACAATGTGAAAATTAAATTGCTAGAGGTTTTTTCTAAAACTCGATGATGTAATTATTGTTGTTTATATATAGTTGAAGAATTTTTTTTTTTTTTTTTTTTTTTTTTTTGCAAATTACAAGACGATACCACTAAATCACTAAATTAGAGAGGGTACAACGGCACTTTTTTGCAATATCATTAGCCCGTTGCACCTGTTCCCGTTTTACCTTACTAATAGAGCATATCCTCAAACTGACTGCAACAATCCTAATTTCTTCAATCATCCACGCAATCGAGATATCATTTCCTCGTGTACCTCTTAAGTTTTCTAGCAGTAAGGCAGAGTCAAAAAGAATGAGAACTTCCTCTTTCCCTTGATTAATTGCCCATTTTATCGCTTCTAGACTTGCCCATGTCTCACATTGTAAAGCCGAGGAAGCCGTGCCATATCTGCCTCCACCATCAAAGACGTAAGATTGGTCAGCCCTGTGATAGCCCAGCCAATACCCGCCCTAGTGGAGGACTTATCCCAGGAGCCATCAACCTGCACAATGAAGTTAGCAAAACTAGTTTTCTGTACTCCTAAATGGACATAATTAAAACCCGGCGGTAGAATGGGGTCTGAAAACCCGTCAGTCGCATTTTGATCCAGAACCCTGATCCTTTTAGAGAACACCTCGTGTTCCTTGAGAGCTATATTAACCAGTTCTATAGTCGTCGCTGTTGTAACCTCAGCCCCTTAAATACTCTTGTATTTCTTGCAATCCATAGACCCCACATAATTGCAATAAACCTGGTGATACGGGCACTATGCTTACCATCCTCGCTATAGAAGAGCGGGATAAAGTGTTGGATCCAACTCCGAAGAGAAGAGAATCCAGTAATATCATGGCAAAAGGTCATAGGGTTGCTATCCCGGACTGCTTTTGCCAGAGAACAAAATCGGAACAGATGTTGGCTATCTTCCACATCCAAATCACAAAAATCACACATTGCATTGATTGCTATTCATGTGTTAGTAAGGTTAACCTTTACCGCTAAACCTTTATGAAGGAGGTTCCAAAGAAAGATCTTCCATTTTGGCAAGACATTCAAGCTCCAGATAAGCTTAGCAAAATCTTCATCTTTTGTGGAAAAAGGGAAGGTGTCGATCACCTGATCCTTACAAAGAAAGTAATACCCGGTTTTAACACTATACCTCCCTGACTGATGATGCTTCCAGTATAGATAATCATCCTTTGATTCTGACGGAAGCTCCATAGCTAGAATGGCTTTGGAGCTATTCCAATCAAAACACTGTCTAACCTTGCTAGGATCCCAAGAGACATTTTCCCTATTTATGAAGTCGCTTACCCTCCATCTCATAGAAGCCCCAAGAGTTTGGTTCAAGTTTGCAATAGGGGTTTTACCTATCACCCAAGGCATGCTAATGGCCTTTATAATTTCCCCATTTCCAACTTTCCAAGCAAAGCCCTCTTTGAAAGAAAAAACCACTTTTTGTAGCCCTGACCTCCCCATAGAGAGGTTACCCGTCTTACTACGAAAACTAGAATGAATTCTAGAAATAAGAAGCTGTGGATTGAGTTGTACTCGGGAGGCTTGTTTGAAAAGCAAAGCCTCATTAAGTTTCGAGATGTTTCAAATGCCTAGACCTCCCATACTCTTTGGAAGTTGGATAACCTCACGCCGAACCCAATGCATACCATTAGTGCTATTGTTCGTCCACCAGAATTGGTGATTAACGAATCAATTTTGTTCGCGACACTCTGGGGAAGCTTAAAACATTTCATGACATGAGCTGAAATACTAATCAGGACTGTGTTGATGAGGATTAATTTTGCTGCTTGGGATAAGTGCAACGATGCCCAAGACACAATTTTTTCCTTCACCCTGTCAACAAGGTATTGAAAGGATAGTCTTTTCTTACCTTGGATATCGATCGGTGCCCCTAAGTGCATCCCCACATTAGTCGTCTCAGACATGGATAAAAGAGCACCTAACCCCTTCTGTAGTACTAGGAGAGAACTTAACAAAAGAATTTTGCAGGTTTAGCCTCTGTCCCAAAGCATTGCCAAATCTCTGAAGAATATCATTCACACACAAACAAGAATCCTCGGTAGCCTTGAAGAAGAGCATAACATCATCAGCAAAGAACAAGTGGGAGATAGGTGGTGATCTCCTCGAAACCTTCAGACCCTTTATCTGGTTTATGTCTTCCGCCAGTGATAGCATTCTAGATAAGATATCCATACAGAAGAGAAACAGGTAAGGAGACAGGGGGTCCCCTTGTCTTAACCCACACTTAGGAGAAAAAGGATTCGAGGTGTGCCTGTTGATGACTGTTCTGTAACTCACCGTAGAGACACATTGAGAAATCATCCTAATCCAATGGTTGGAAAACCCGTGCAAGTGAAGAACCTTTGTTAGGAAAATCTAGCTTACCCTGTCGTAAGCTTTAGACATGTCTATCTTAACTGCTGCCAGATTCGATCTTCTTTTAGAGTTTATGAGGTGCATGAGCTCGTGGCTCATAAGGATATTATCTTCCATATATCTACCTTGAACAAAGGCGTGCTGGTAGTCGGAGATAATTCTGGGAGCATCAATTTCAAACGGTTGACTAGACATTTAGAGATACATTTGTAGACTGTGTTGCAGAGACTAATCGGTTTGAAGTGATTAGCAATTTCTGGAACCTTTACTTTCGGGATAAGGACAAGCAGCGATTGGTTCCATTCTTTAAGCATATTACCAGTCCTCAGAAACTGTTGGACACTGTCAACAACAAGTTGTCCTACTTCCTTCCAAAAGAGATGGAAAAAATCCGTAGTAAACCCATCCGGTCCCGGAGATTTCGAGCCATTCATATCAAACATAGCCTTCCTAATTTCCTGAGTAGAAAAAGGTCTATCAAGCCATTCTCTATCCTCCCTGCTCATGGGTTGAATATGCAATTGTCGAAGCAGTAGATCAATATCTTCCTCATGGGTTCCCCTATTGTTGGATTAAAGATGGTCATTACCGACTTCACCACCACCTCCTCAACCTTATCTTGTCCTTCAACCCAGATCTCTTCATCAGTCCGTAAAGATAGGATGTCCTTGAATTGTTGTTTCTGTTACGCCATTCTATACATTAATTGGGTGGGCAATCACCAAATTTGATCTAATTTGATTTCATTCTCTGCTTCCAGTACTCGAAACTAAGCTTGCACTCTGGGATTCGGGAATTTATTTGGTTGATGTAGTACTCCCCTTCCTGGAGGGAGTTAATGTTATCACCCACCGTACACAAATTCGAAGAGACACCCCTCCAGTTAATCCCCCAAATCTTTTTGTTTTTTAAACACCAGCTTTGAAGCGAAGCTCTCAGATTGCCTAACTTCTTTTCCAACTGAAACATACAAGATCCTTGCACTTCTAACTTCCAACCATCCTTGACGATTGTTTTAACCTCGGGGAAATCGAGGCACCAATTTTCAAGTTGGTACGGCCTATTAGATCTTTTAGAAGGAGGATTGGATTAATAAGTGATCGCCGCATGATCAGAAGCTATGATCGGCTCATGAACCACTCTCCCATCTGGAGTGTGATTGAACCATTCTCCTGTAATGTAGGCTTGGTCAAGCCTTTCGAGAATAAGCTCTTGACCCATTCTTTTATTACTCCAAGTAAACCGCGGCCCTGAGAACGGAACTTCAGTGACATCGCTACTCAATCTCCAATCAAGGAAAGCATCACTCCCTCTAATAAAATTCGACCCTCCAATTTTATCATTCCCACTCTCAATTTGGTTGAAGTCGCCAATCACAAGCACATTTTTGTAATCATCCAAAAATAGTTGAAGGAGTTCCCATATTACTCTTCGATTCTCCACAAGAGGCTCACCATAAAAGAAAAGTACATACTTAGTGTTTCCATTCATCTTAGAAATTTTACAAAAGATGAAGTTCTTAGAAGAGTACAAACAATCAACTACATCATTTGACCAACTTAAAACTAAAAGACCTCCACTAGTACCAACCGAGTCAAAACCAAAAACATAGGAAGGTCTTAAGCAATCTAACTTTTGAGCGGCCTTATCAAAAGCTATTTTAGTTTCCGAAACAAACAAAAACATAGGAAGTTTAGAACAGTAGATCCACACTAGATAAGGGATTGCAAGGGAGTGTGGATCGTTCAAGTCCCTACAATACTGTATATATAGCAAATGTATGTAATACTCCATCCAATTGAAAAAAATAATAATAATAATGTTACTTATGTGAATAATTTCAAATACAGTTTCTCCGTTTCATTAAGACATTTGATAATGCATGATTTTCATTCAAATATAAATTTCTTCAATTATGAAAGTTTAATGTTTGGAGAATAGACAATGAGACGAATTGAATTACATGACTATTATTTATCAAATTACAAAAAGAAAGTCAGAGTAACTTATATGTGAATAATCCTCAAAGTCAGAATATATTAACTATAAAGAAATGGAGAAAGTAAGTTAAACAAATATTTGGATAAAAGAAAACAAGGAATAAGTAAATCGAAAAATTGGACATGATGGAGAAGCTAAAAAGTAGCATACGGAAACTCTAGCATTGATTTTTAGTATGACCTGGTTGATGAAGACCTTGTTTGAAATAGTCTAGATGTCAAATGATGCCAACATATTTGGGTTTTAAGATATCAAATCTCATTTACATTAATTAGGAAAGTATTCTCAAGATTGTCGGTAAATTTGGAAAAACCGTATACAAGTATGAGATTACAGGCAAGTGGGAAACCAAAATAACAATAGTCAAATGCCTCTTCATTAATAGTTATTGCATAATGTAATTCCAAGTCAAATAAAGTTACTTAATTTGTAAAACCATTGGAATAATAAAGATTGCATAGCGTGATACATACATGGATTAGAATCGACACGTTGTTGTATGCACGTATTGTGTAGTGAATCAATATAATTACGCCTAAATTAGGCCACTTAATGCAGTGTTGAAAGTCTTGAAACACACACAAATTAATAATAACTACCCTAAAAAGACTAATTTGTAACTACGTAACTAGTATA